AAATTTTCAATATTCATAGAAGGTTAATAGAAAATATACCAAGTGAACAATTAATTTAGGTAAAGTTTTATATTAAATCAAGCAACAAGTTCTAGTACAAAGTTTTCAAAATATTACAAGTCATAAAGTTATACTTATATGTTATACAATTTCCAACCTAAGCTCGGATTTTTGCATCCGACATCTATCTCTTGAATTATGTATTCCTGCATCATACGTCACCAACATCCGGAATTGAAATATTTATGGGGTTAGACATTTAATTTTATCCACAACAAATAAGTCAAACATTCATACGATAAAATCAACCAATGAAACATTCCTTCTAATAAATATACAACCATATATAATTTAATTTAAAAATTAATTATGAGAAACAAATAAATAATTCATGGAATCATAATAGAGAATATCATACAAATCATGAATAATCTACAATTTTATCATGCAATATGTTTATGATATGCACATGTGACTCCAAACGTAAAACTTTAAAATCATGCTTTTGACTCAAAATAAAAATTTTATTTTTGACTCGATGCTCCATGGAGACTCATTTGAGTGTTTAGTGGAACCAGAGCTTAACATCACCCTGTTCGGTGATTCGGCAATGTCCCATTAAACGCGAACAAGTAGACAAGTAGTCGAGTGTCGATGCACCCGGCAGCTACCACGACACGTGAATCAAATAAAGACCGGCCACTTATGGAATTGCCCATGCCCAAACACTCCCTAGACCGGAGGTCCATCCCCATAGACCAGAGGTCCTGTCTTACCTATTCTACTCCCCCATTTACTATCGGAGATTCTGGTAGCTCAATTCTTAATAATTCATTCTCTGTCTCATTTGGCCAGTCATTTTCATAGTCATATTCCACTACCAGATGCTCTTGATAGTAAATTGACTCACAGAAAAAATTTTAAAATTTTGTTTTGCACATCATTATTCCCACCAACCGTCTTTGGTAGCAACTTAAGAGAAATTTTCAAATACTTTTCTGTAAAAACTTTTCTGTGACTTCCAGAAAACATTTTATGCACTATGTTTATGTCTTGTATGAAACAAAACAATCTATCATCAATTTAAGTACTTAGAAACATCTCCTTCATGTATTCAAAATTCCAATTACAATTTATAGTTGTTTTAAGCAAGACAATTTCTACTTATAATTTATTTCGTAGGATTCAGTATTTTATCCATATCTTGAGTTCTAGACCTCCTTTTAAGATGATTCCAATTGTGTTGGAAAGATAAGACAATGACCTATAACTTTGATGAAGGCACTATCCTCAAATTCTAACGTTTACTAAGTCGTTTTCCTAGTAAACAAAGAGGGGTAATATACTATTTGACTTTATCTCGATTATACCCTTAACTTTTTTTTTTTCAAAATTTCATTTATGTCCCTAGGTTGTAAAATGACCATTTTGCCCTTGAACATTTCCTATAATTCCATCCATGTCCCTAAGATGTGAAATGACTATTTTACCCTTGATCTTTTTCAAAATTCCATTTATGTCCCTAATATGTGAAATGACTATTTTACCCTTAATCTTTTTCAAAAATTCCATTTATGTCCCTAATATGTGAAATGACTATTTTACCCTTAATTTTTTTCAAAATTCCATTTATGTCCCTAATATGTGAAATGACTATTTTAGCCTTGATCTTTTGCAAAAATTCCCACCTAGTCCTTTCTTCTTCATTCACTCTCCTGTAAGCCATTTTCAAATCCAGATTTTCCAATTTCTCAATTTAAAGCACCCAAATTAGTTCTAAATCAAAATTAAACATGCAATATGTCCAAATTAAGTCAAAAACAACAATTTTACTATATAATTCATCCTTAATTTCAAGAATTTCATCAATATTTAAAACTTTGCAAAATATGAATAGTAATCATCTCTAGTACGCCATTTTCAAAATCCAGATTTCAATTTTCTCAGTTTCAATCACCCAAATTAGTTCCAAATCAAAATTAAACTATAAACATGCTCAATTTAAGTTAAAAACAACAATTTTATTATATAATTCATCCTTAATTGAAAGAATTTCAGCAATATTTCAAACTTTGCAATTGATGAATAGTAATCTCCAATTTCAAAATTACAGACATTCGTATGAATAAAACTAAACGTCTAACCCATACCTGGCTCCTTCAAAATCTTATTACTCTCTTAATTTCTTATGTTCCCCTTTCCTCCTTTCTCTTGAATTCTTCTTCTTAGAATTTTGGTGCCTCTCTGTTGGATTTGTAAGTGACGGGAATTGTATGTTTTTGTGTAAGTAAGTTTTCAAATTTCTTCCTATTTATATACTTATCTTACCGACTTATACTCCTTCTCGAATTTTCTTTAATTTTATTCTCCACCGCCTTATTTCACCGACTCAATTCAAAGGTTCTATTGACTTGATCTAAAACTACTGTTCCTGAATACCATTTCTCTCTTTTCGTGATTTTTTTTTTTAGAAAGTTTACATAATACTTAAATGAATAAGTTCATTATTAATATTAATATATATATATATATATATATATATAATTTTTTATAGTATTAAATTTCTAAATATTTATTTATTCATTTATTTAATTTTATTATTGAAAATTATTATTAAATTATTATTTGACACAATATTAACCTTGAATTTTATTTTATAATTTTCTTAAGACAAAATTACTATAAAAATCATGTTTTATTTTTATAATAACTCTACATAATATTCGGTACATATTTATAACTTACAAAATTTATTTATATAATTGATTGCAAAATTTAGGATATTACAATTCTCCCCTACTAAATAAAATTTCGTCCTCGAAATTTGTAATACATTCTATGTGAATAGATAAGGGTATTCAATTCTCATTTTCTCTTCCAGTTCCCATGTAGCGTCGCCTCTAACATCATCCCGGATAACCTTAACAAGTGGAATATCTTTTCCTCTTAGATGCTTAATCCTTCTTTGTTCAATCTTAACAGGACTTGGTTCAAAGGTGAGGTTTTCCTTCACCTGTGCTTGATCAGGTTCTAGGACATGTGTTGGATCTGAAATGTACTTTCTCAATTGTGACACATGGAATACATCATGAAGATTTGAGAGAAAAGGTGGTAAGGCTATCTGGTATGCAACATTTCCAACCCGTTTTGTAATTTGATAAGGCCCAATATATTTAGGGGAAAGTTTCTTAGATTTAATAGCTCTGCCAATTCCCGTAATAGGTGTAGCTTTCAAAAATACATGATCTCCTTCTTGAAATTCTAAAGGTTTCCTTCTCCTATCAGCATAACTTTTCTGTCGACTTTGAGCAGTTCTCATCTTATCTTGAATTATTTTTACCTTATTCGTTGTTTGTTGAAATTGTGTATTAGTAAAAAAAAAAATAAGTCCAAGCATGTTACACATAATTTTGGTGAAATTGTGTATTATACAAACGTGCACATAAATCTTGGGCGTATTATACAAACTTTCCTATTATAGACTAAGACAGACAATACTCTATAATTACTACAAGCATGTTACACATATAATGTTTACTCGGCTATCTACTATTAAAAGACATTTTGTCAAAACTAACATGGTCTAAACTGCAAGTATCAAGTCAAAAAGCAATACAAACTGCTAAGTTGCTTGCTTTAAAAGAAGGTTTGTTGGTATGACAATGATAATTTGTGTCTCTTACTCATTTCACATTACTTTCTATACAGATTTTCCTGTAAAATACAAACTCCATACTTCTCTAATTTCAAGTATTCAATTTTTCGGTTTTCACGCTGATTATGTTATTACTTCTTTTGCACATGAGAATTTCATCAGCTGGCGCAGCAATTGATGCCACAAAATTGGGGAATAAACCATAAAATGCTGGAAAATTATTCGTTGTAAGTTTCTAATCTTTGACAAGTTTGATTTTATTTAATAGGAATTATGAGATGATTATATTAAAAAAAATTACCTTACAAAAGGATCAGTAATATGTCTATCAAGAAATACATCAGAGGAGAAGTCATGATGAGGAGTGAAAGGACACTTTTCCTGAGAAAGTATGTAAATGAATTTGGTTTTGAGCTTTACGGGAAATATTAAAACTCTAGAGAACTTTTTCACTTTGAAAATTAGGGGTCAATGATGAATTAATTCATTCAATTGCATTATTTAGGACAATTTGTACAACATATATAAGGAAGCATATTTTTTATAACTCGAAAGAGAGAATTGGAATAACCTAACCTAACATTACAAGCATACAAAGTCACACATATTGTTTTATCGCACTAAATTATTAGGATTTGAACCTTACTATGGTGATCTGAACTTGTTTTTACTCATAAATAAACCTAATCGGGAAAAGCTTAACTATTCAAACCCTTGAACACATGTTTGGTCACAATATCTCAGGAAGTTGGTCATATGCAGGTACATGAATGATCCCTAAGAACCTTTTCTCCAACAAAAATATTACTTTTCAAAATGTTTGTAATGCAAATATACTTCTTCATTGTAACATTTCATCAAACACTTGTTGGACATTAATATAGTATCACAACTCAATTAACCCTACACCCTGAAGAACACTTTCATTACAAACCCAATCAAAGATAAACAGAAAAGAAAACAACAATGAAAATTCAATTAAAGATAAACAGAAAAGAAAGCAATAATGGAGTAGCACGAACACTCACCGCAGGGGTCGCTCAAACGAGAGACAATGATGTTCAGCGAGATAAAGGTCGAACGAGACGGAGGAAGACAAGCGAGAGGAAGGGAACCCTAGGTCGAACGAGAAAAAGGTACTGGAAACATATATTTCACTTCTTACAAATTTATCCCTCCATTTTTATAATATTGCATCCCTTTCTTTTATAATTTACTAAAGAAACCCTAATTTTCAATTAATTTACGTTCCTCCATAGTGGAACTGATGTTTTTCCCTGGTTGTCAAAGTATCGTTTTCGAAACTATCAAGGCAAAAGCAACATAATAAAATGGTGAGGTGCACCTAAAATATATACATTTTTGTCAATTTTCCTTGAAGTTCTAGATCGTTACCACAGTCAGTAGTCGCAGCAATAGGAAAGGCAGAATGGATCGGTGTTGAGTTATCCTGATTCTGTGACGATTTCAAAATATGCTTGGCACCAGGACCAAGTTTCACAGGACCTGGCATTACCACGCCATCCCGGTCAGAAGAATCTAAGCCAAAACGGCTTCTAGGATTTAGATTCTGAGCTTCATTCAGGACACATTTTCTTGCACCCACGTGGAGATTAAGTTCAACTTCTCTTGTGTTTCTCGGCAAATTTGTACTTGAAGTCTCTCGAGCCAGCCCAGTCATGGGACTTACTTTTTTCTGCAATTCTATATTAGATAACTTGTAAGGTTTTGCATGATCAAAAGTATTATCTGCGGGTCTCTTCCTGGCTTTGGTGCATGGATACTGGTCTTTGGCAATCATAACATCTAATTTCACTCTGTCAGTGACCCTAAATATGTTTCTACAACCATCTATGGCAGAGGATGGTCTGGCAACGGGGGAAACTGAAGTATGTGGAGAATGAGGATGATGAGCAATAGATGCTGGGCAAAGAAGGGCGCTCCTGGGACAGTGAGAAGTCACAGAAGTAGGATACAAAACATCTGACTGATTCACAGATGGGATAGTAGAGTCATTTCTCCATGCATTTTGTCGAAAACTTACACTAGTAGAGCACCCAGGCATCTTTTCATATGTCGAGTCTAATGACCACGGGGGCAAACTGATATAGGACCTCTTGAATGATTTGGCCTGTTCTTCAACAATTGGGCGCAAGAAAGGAAATCCAACAGCTGAATTCGTTACACCATGGTGCTTCTTCCAGTCATTCTTCTCACCATTGCTTAAAGTAGACTGATGAAAATCGTAAGGACTAGATGGTACCTGAGGATGAAAGCAGAGTCCTTGACTTATAGCTCCAGATATAAACTGCTCCGGCAAGTCTTCTGGTTGCCTACTATATATTGCACAGGAAGTAGGTGCTTGGGAAATAGGATCCACATTAGTACTGGTATTTCTGCTGGTTCCAAGGCTTGCATTTTGGGATATATGACCATTTTGCAGGTTAATAAATTCAGAGTTTGGACCTTTCATCAACAAGGTACTTTGTAATGCTCGATTGCTTCGAATTTTCACAGATTCCAACACATGCTCAGTTTGTCTCTGTAATTGAGAACCGGCAACCCAATCAGGCATATAGCATCTTCCTAATAAAGAATTATCCATAGCAGCATTTACAGAATAGTGCCGTCTTCTGGATTCTTCTTCAGCCCAAAGAACTCCTCCAAAATGATGATGCTTTCCTTTGCTGTTTCTACCAATCGGAACATCTTTTCCCATCAACCTCATTGTTGGTTGACTGGAAATAGGTGAAACAAGACCCGGGCTTCCTCTAGGAGAAATCATTCCATATTCCTTGTGATTTGGCACCTTGTCAAGTTGATTCTGTTCAATGAAAGGGTTTCTCAAAAGGTTCAATTTTGAATCAACTGCCTGGGCTTGGTGATTGGAACACCAATCAGAATTATGTGGGTAGATATCTGCTTTCTCCCTGCCATGTAACTCTACAACACCTAACCAACTGCCTGAATAACGAGGAAACGAATTTCCTCGATCTTGAGGAGTCTTCTGAACAACATGGCTATTTCCAATGCTTAAATAGTCCTGGCTATTTTGATGGAAAATACTATTCACAGGAGCTCTTAAAGAACCAGTTAATGTACATGATGTCTCTGGCTGATTCATCCCAACTTTTTCACTTGAACTGAAGTTGATTAGCTCACCATGAGAATTGAGTGGTAAACCATAAAAGTTCTGCTCCATGCAGCGACTCCTTTCACTTCCTTTCCCCCAACCAGGCAAGAGAAACGAATTATCGATCATATCTGCAGAAAACGTGCCTGAAAACGATCGGCCACCCAAACCTTGGCCATTATTATCCTTGTTTCCATATGTATGCAATGGAAATTCTGGTCTCTCATTTACTTCGATACAGGAAGCAGAAAAAGAGGGTGAAGGCTCCAAATATGTCCTTGTATTCGCATGCGTAGACTGAAAAGTTGGACTTCCCAAATGATTAATAAATTTTCCAGTGTAACTAAAAACTTCAGATTCACACGCTTGTGCATTTATACCAGAAGCCTGCCCCCCTTGTAATGCTGAAAGAGATCTAGAAACGTCACCATGTGGAGAAACATTCATAGTAGTCGTGTTGCCGTCAAGTCGGTGTAAATTATTATCACAAATTGTCACGTGGGATGATGATTCAGACTTCTCAAATAAGTTCTTTGATTTCACTTGATTGGTAGATGGCTTTAAAGAATTTTGTACAGAAACTTGTCCCGGTGTATTAGAAAACTGTTTACTTTCAACTATAGGACTAACTTCCTTTCTCGTATCTGTGTTAATGACAATGTTATCCTTTCTGCTTTCCTCTAAATTTGCAGTTCCTTCAACATTTTCAGAGGACAGCTCCTTTCCAAATGAAGAGGCTAGTGTATCTGAAGATAAACTGAGCACGGTTTCATCAAACGAGTTTCTCTTTTTCGAACCAACTACCGAATCCTCAGCAGAAAATCCCAAATGCTTATCTAATGATGGCACCTGAACATCATAGTGGCTTTCATCAGTACCATCTTGAATATTACTACCACTTGAAGTACTTCCAGAAATATGTTTATGATTCTTAAGAATGCCACGAATGGGAGACACTTCCTTTTGTTGCATTACAACCAAGTCCCAGTTTTTAACCTTTTCCTTTTTTTCTACTGCTAATATCTTTACCCCCAGTTTCTTTTCATGTGCTGAAGAAGCATCAATATCACGAAGTTTAACCTTTTTATTCCCAACAGTACCTAGCTTCCTTAAACTATAGACTTTATTCTGCATTTTGCGCTTACAAGCATCTCCCTGAGACATTCAAAATTTACCAACTTGATTAAACCTAATAATGGTAAGTAATAACACACAAAAGTAACGTGAAATCAAGTCACCATTCCAACCCCAACATCCATGCAAAACAAAACCGAAAGATGGGGGTGGTAGCCACCTCAATAACAAAATGGAATCAAATTTCAGATACAAATGGGTTATTTCCTCTTCTTTCCTCCTATTTTGTTTCTTTTCTTTTCCCTAAACTTGTGCCATTTTCAGGCAGGGGATTACAATTCCGAACAATGCATTATAAGAATATTTATAATTAATAAATATACGCAAAATGCATTTATCTCTATCTCTGTCTCTAAATATAATGTAATCATTTAAATTTATAATTTTAAAAATTGGTTTACTTAATAAAGTTTCATTTAATTAAGATTTGTAAATATTTCATTATGCTAAATTAATTGAAAAAACTTAAGTATGGATTAAATAATTAAGAAAAATAAAAATCTCTTTTAATAGGATAAATAATTAAAGGATAGTTGATTTTATATAAAAATTCATGAGACATATATATTTGTACTAAAGTAAGGGAAATTAATGCAAGTTCATATAGACTTTCTTTTAGAATGCGAATCATAATAATAACATAGAGTAAATAACATAAAAATGGTATGCTTACAAGATAATTTGATGAGAACCTTCTCAAGAAATAAGTTAGTGATTTTGTAACAGAAAAAGTTACTTTTTCAATTAGAGATGTTTCAAGAATTTATAATGTATAATTTAAAAAACAATGAAACTTAAAAAATATTTTAATACTATTTTCTAGAATTAAAAATAAAAATTACGCAAAAAACTATAAAAGAAATAACTATAAATAAAATCCTTTTAGCTAAATCAATCGTACTTTCTTAACTTTTAAAATTAAACTGTTTCACATAAAATGAACACAATTTATAAAATTTGTTTGGAAATCGATTATAACAGACGATATAATAATGCTTTTGCAATATATTGATCATAAATAGCCAGCGAGAGACGCAACGTTCACATGCACATGTAGATGACGCAGATAAATTCTTAAGTTATTAAAGCAAAACTCTTCAAGTTAATAATTTTAATATGTATTTTCAAACGAGAAAGATAAATTCATAACGCTGGTAAGGAATTTTCTGGTTTCCTTTTTTGGTACAGGTATAGGTTACTACGTTAAAGTACACTAATTAATAACCCCAACCATGCCATACTAATAATTATAAAGCACCGTTATCACAATTAAGTTACTTTCTTATTCCTCATTAAAAGAAACAGTAAATACATATGGTATATATAATATAGTAGAACTTGATTAAATGATGAGTTTGCTCTCATCTTTTCTGCCTTCCAAACCAATAATAGAGTATCACATTGTCTATTAAATCCGTTTATTTAAAGGGCATATGTTAATAAAGAATACTAATTACATTTTTTTAAGTTATATAAGTTGATGAGTATTAATAGCTACTTATTTTTCCTATCATATTGTAAAGTAATAAATTACTTTTTTTCATCCTTCTATCATTTTTTTTATTTCTCTCCTAGCTTATTTTTACCGTTTTTTATCCATAGCTGTTAGTATTAATATCTTATTATCATGTAATCTTCTATTATATTTTTTTTGTTTTTTATTTTTTGTCCATGATTTTTATTTTCCTTATTATGATATGATTAAATAATTTTTTATATTTTTTTTATTACGATCTTTTTTACTTATGATCAATTTTGTTGACTTAAATAAATTTTCTTCTACAACTTTGGGGGAAATAGTTGATGTGGGTGAAAGAAAAGGATGGTAAAGTTTATTAGAACCTTGTATTGGCCAATGTTTATTTGGTGAGCAAAAACTTATATTTTCTATCAAAATTTTGCTAAGAGAAATGGATTAATGAATAGACGTTATTTATGTTGTCATTGTGAAGAATTCTTCAACCCAAAACTTTTTTACTCATCTAAAAGATCAACAAAATAGACAATCTTAATATGTGATGCAAGGCACATTTATAAAGATAAATAATGAAGAAAAAGAATTTGAGTAATTAAATTATGAAATAAAAAGTAATTAGAAAAGATAAATTGAATAAATATATTAAAATAAAAAAGTAATTAATGTTTTATCATAGGGATGAGGACCCAAGTTAACCGGAACAACTATATAATAACAACTATATAAAACATCAGATAATTTTAATTTTTTTTTACATAGTAAAGCACATTTAAATTCATATCCTAATTAAGTCTTAGATGATCTTCTTAGTGGATTCCATATATTAGATATGCATCATGTGGAACATCACATTATATGATTGGGGTACGATTTATATATATATATATTAGGAAATAATTTTTTTTTAAAATGAAAAGAACAAAAATAGTAAATGAACATAGATTTAACCTTCTAAATAATTAAATAACTATATGCTATTTTAATATTTTTATTAGATATTGATTGATAGTATTAAGATTTTGTTAGATATTGTTAATCATAATATCAAATAATATTTTCTGTTTATTTTATTTATTTTCTGTTATTATTTTTTAGTTGTACCTCTTTTTATTATAAATAGATTAGTTTATGTGTAGTTTATATAAAAGGAAGATTAATCTCAAATCTTATTTCCTTTGTATTCAACAATTTTTATTAAGAATGGTTAAATTAGAGAATGTCAATTGAAAATTAAAAGTTTGCTTGTTTTTTCTCTTCCCAAATATAACTCTCTAAACATATCTGTAATAAAATTTAGAGCATTGATATTTAGACAATCCGTCTTTCTCAAACATCTATCCTATAACTTCTTTTTAATAATACAATTAATCATAAACATAAAAATTTTAATTTTTATTATCAAGCAGATGGTTGTTTTTTACCTTAAGGTTGTCTATCCATCATTTTCCTAAAAATTATATCCGTACACATATCCTTGTCAATGATGATGATGATATTTTAATTAAAACTTTAAACAAATAATGTTCTAGTAACATTTTCACGGAAATTTTTTTCTAAAACATTCGATGAGTTCGCATATTATTACAAGAGTTCAATTCCCAACTAGTGACTGACTTTGTTATAAATGTTTACAAATCTATCTTTTCATGACAGATAAGAAAAAATATATTATCATTTTAACTAATAACATTAAATGCATATCCCTAAAACTTCTTAGTGATAAAAGGAAATCTTAGGAGCTCATTCAATTTATTAGAATAGTAATACTAATTTGAAAACATCTAGTTGTGAATGAAATCAAGCTTAAGTTATACAATAAACTTGAACCCTCAATTTTAAAAATAAGATGATTTCTGTAAATAATGTCTTTCTCATTAGGTATGTATGTAAGTTTGCATAGCAAATTAAATTAAAACATAAGTTTATATAACAAGTTAAAATAATACCCTAGATTTTTCTTCTTTTTTTAATCAATACTCAAATTTACTTTTAACAAAGTATAATTAGATATTTATAAATTATTTTTTAAAATAATATTCCACTATTTGTATTCAAAGTCTTTCAAATTAAAATGTATGTAATTTACAAAATTTTATTTTTATTTTTAATTACCTATAAAACAATACCTAATATTTAATTAATCTTAAATATTCTTTAAATTTATTTTCTGAACTATATATATATATATATATATATATATATATATATATCATACATACATATTACTGTGATATATTTACTGGTTTCTAGTTATATATGTAACTACAGTTGAATTCAGTTCAATACCTTCTCAGTCCTAACGACAATTTTTTCTTCTTTGATTTTTCATTGCATTTTATGGTCAAATAACCGAAATTGTAGTAACTGAAAATAATGGTATTCTGTTGCAAAACATTCACTTTGATGAATCATAAAGGGAAATTTATGTTTGACAGAATAGTATATGAAGTTCTTTAATATACTGGCATAAAAGGTCGTATAATTTTAGAGCAAATTACAAGTCTTACCCATTTTCGTATAATTTTATTACAAACCAGTCTTATCAAATAACTTAGAAAACAGGTTAATTAATAATCTTTTAAATCTTCATGTGTAGAACATTATTATACTATAACTCAAAGGCTAAAGTATTTCATATTTATAATATTAATATTTTGGGGTCAAAGTATCCCATGTATAATTTGGATATTCATGGTCATATTTACATTTTTAAAGTAATTATTATGCTAAAAAATAAAAACACCTATGTCTAGCAAAAGTTCAGCCGCACAGTAAAGAATAAATAATTATTATCACAATCATGATTAAATATATATTAAGAATGGAACGAGCCCCTTAAAATAAGAAAAAAAATACTTAACTATTATAAACGAGATTTAATGATAAAAAAATTACTAGAGCATCTATTTTAAAGTAAAAAAAAAATACAAAGGGAAAATAAATGCATGATATTAATGTTTAAAACGTACTTTAAATTCTTAAAAGTTTGAAACTATATATATATATATATATATATATATATATATATATATATATATATATATATATATATATATATATATATATATATATATATATATATATATCCAGAATTCTATGACTTTTTTAATCAAATGTCTTGATACCAAATATAGTTCACTCTATTTTCATCTATCTATAAAACTCATCATTAATTTGATAGGCATAAAAAAAGGTATGATTAGAATGAGAACAAGACCGTCGAAGGTAAAGTTAAAGCTAAAATTAGTCTTGAAATATGTAGATTTAAACAAGACCAGAGACGTACGTCAATTTTTCTCAACCGAATCCAACTCTGAAATTGAACTGCATAAACATGCTCATCTGGTTTTTGAGTACGTATCCAGTCCAGGGAAAAAGCACCGACCAAAAGATCTCACACACTATATCAGAGTATCGTGCAACCTCTATGTACTGATATATCAGATAGAATTACCATGTACTGATATATTTTCCGTAGCTACATACTCTCCACCTAGGTTCTGATCTGTTAGCCACTCATTGATTTTATTTTCTCTAAAAAATTAGAATTATTTACCTATTTAGTTACATACCCCACTATTCATACTTTTACATTTTGAGAAAATAAAGAATGTAGATTAGATTTTTTTTATGATTTAAAAAACTTTATATGAATAATAATTATAAAATAAAAATACGAAAATGACATTATTAACAGAAACAAGACACAAAATGCACAACTAATACACACTAGCTAAGCTTAACAAGAATAGTGTAACTCTTACAAGTTTACCACTATAAACTTTCTACAGTATTTTTTATAATTGTTTTAATATCACAAATTTTATTTTATATTTTTCTCTCCTTTTATCTCTCTCAATGAATTGCTAGTTCATTGGATAATATCTCCACATTACGCCAAACCAGCGTAAATTTTCAGACGCAGTGTTCTCTGGCATGGCATAGTAAAACATCCGTATTATAGACGCATCAACCGATCCTTCAAATTCTGATCCTTCACTCACTCACAGATCTCACAACCCATCATCATAGAAGAGAATACACTTATCTAGTTCCCCCATGGCCCATAAGTTAATTACCCCCAAATTATTATCTAATAAGAGTTAACAAGATAGGAAAATAAAAAACCCTCATTAGACTCATCTCTTCCGCCTAGTAGTAGCTAGTAACCTATGAATAAACCCTTATCTTCAATATTTCTACCTCAACTTTCACAAAGAGTGCCTAACCAGAAAGTAGGAACTACTCACTCTTCCCCTAATCACAAATGTGATGCTCTCAACTCCAAACCCACACTAAACCCACATATTTTGGCATCAGTTTTATGCAGAAAAAGCAAAACGTAGAGTTCGCAAACCTATTATCGCATGGCGCGATCAACTACCCCAACACAGAAACTACACTATTGGTTAATATTTTATGCTTGAAAACACACCAAAAATTATGGAAATAGCATGCATACATACATGGAAGCTTAACTTATATTTTATGCCACGAAATCATACATAACATGATGACATTGACTGACATAATAACAGCATACGTAGAAACATACCTTCGTTGCAGTGAACTCGTTGTTCAGCTTCTTCTTCTTTTTCTTCTTCCTTTTGTTGATCTTCTTACTTTCATCGTTCAGCGGCAAAACGCTACGTTTTTCCACCTTGTTTTTTTTCTTCATAAAAACCTTCTCCATCTTTTTCTTTTTTGCTACGCTGTTGTTCGTACACTTCTTACTCTTGATTCTGACACTGGAGAAACCGTATTTCTCGAATTCTTCTCCGTATTCTTCGCCTTCTTCGACTTTCTCTTCCTCCACCGCGAGATCACCGTCGCCTGCGGCATCGGTTGGCTGTGCCACGGTGAGAATATCCGCGATAGAGCGCTTCTTCGGCGCTTTTGGCTTCGGATAATTCAAACTCGGTCTCCGGCACCGCTCCTCCTTCATCGCCCTCGCGAGGCAACCGTCGATGTGCGCGTTAGCATCCGTTACCGTGGCGGCGATGAAAACCCTACAAACAGGACACAGCATCTCCGATTTCTCCTCCTCCGCGGAATTCGAGTTTCCTCCGACGGATTTCACCGATTCGAAGGAAATTCCGTTGGATCTCATCGCCTCGAGCCGCTCCGAGAGCCACCGGAGCTTCGTGACAGCGCTCGAAACATCACCGGCGTCGAAAGGCAGGAGTTTCAACACGGTCTCGATGTCCGGCGCCCGCTTCTCCTCTTCCACGTCCTTCTTGAGGTCGAAAATCTCCGCGATGGATCGCTTCTTCGGCGCCTTCAACTTCAACTGCCGCATCCGCCGCTGCTCGTCCCTCACCGTCCGCACAAGGCAACCATCGATGTGCGCGTTCACCGCTGTCAGCGTCGCCGCGTTGAAATCTCGACACACCGGACAAATCATCTCGATCTTCTCCTTTTCCTCTTCCACTCCCTCCTCCTCCACCACACATCCACCACCAGTAACAAACTTATCCACTCTCTCCGTTTCACTCTCTTCAAAAACCGCCTCACTCAGCCGATTCTCCCTTAGTTTGTCTCCACCATCTCCGGCGAGTTTAGATCTCACTCCATCTAACTCATCCGACCACCGACGCAACCTGGGAACGGTCATCGGCGGAAGCCAGGCCTCCGCTTGGGAGCGGCTAACTTCATCGGCAGCGAATGGCCAGCATTTAAAAACATCTACCGTCCTCACCTTAGAAGTGTAGTCCCTGCCACACCAAATCATAATCGCAGAAGGAAAGAGACACGGTTAGTTACAGTCACAGTCACAGTCATAACAGTGAAATCAACTAAACAAACAAAACTCAACAAATTAAAACCATAAAAAAAAAACTATTAATAAATATCCACATATATAATGTGTGTGCCTTATAGAGAAGCCATTGAATGCAAGCGCCATGATTCTGTGACACACAATGGGAAGAAGACGAGGAGAGATATGAGAGAGAGGGTTTTGGTTTTAGAGAGAGGGAAAGAATGAAGTGATAGTATCATGTGATTTCTTATTTTCCCGCTCAAGGGTGATTTGTGTTAGCTTTATGTGTGTAATGTTTTTTTTTTTTTTTTTTTAATTTATGACTGAAAAGGACGTGAGAGAGAGCCAGAAAGAGGGAAGTGTGACCCAACCCTCAAAAAGCCATTCCACGCTCCACCCACTGACTCTACATTCATCCCTCATCAATCACAACAAATGTTCCAATTCCAGTTTTTATAATTTGAGTTTTAGGTCTTTTTATGATTTTTACAGTTTTAAAAGTCATGTAAAGAATATATACATATTCCTGTTTAAAATATGTTATAATTTAAAACTAAACTCTTATATATACATTTTATTTTTTATTTTTTTTCAATTATGCAATATTCTAAAAAGTTTTTACAGGATCATAACGTCTTTTCTTTATAGTTCTTCTACCTTGTAATTGTAATAATTGTACCACACATATGAAAACAGTAAAAAATTATTTTGCACAATGAAAAAATAAAACCAATTAACTCATGCGATTGCTGTCAATTTATTTTTATTGAAATTTCTCCATTATAAAAAAAACGAGTTACTTAATTTGATTTCGAACTAATTTGGTAATTTACATAATTTCTATATATAGATGGTGATGAAAAAACTTCTATATAAATTTGTCAAATAGTAATTAAGAATAATTTCTATTATATCCCAAAGAAATAATTGTTTCAGTTCATCGTTAAAGAAATACTTTTATCAAGGAATTTACTATCAGATGGAGTTTATATCCAATAAAATAGATCTCTTCAAAACAAAATCAGATTCTTCTATAAGAAACTGGTTATTAACACAAGCATAATATAAATTACTTAGATTAATGTGACATGAAGTGAGTTACTTTTGTTATAAATGCCTGACAAAAAAAGGAAGGTTTATATGGCAATTCCATAAAATGAAAAGGTAAAACTAATTAAACTAAAAATGAAAGATGCATTAAATCAATAATTGAAGTTGCATGCAGATATTAAAGAAATGCAGAGGTGGTGCCGGTTGCCAGTGGATGGCTGACTCATTTATCTGTTTGAACTGCTACATCCAAACAACAATCACACTGTAATCGATACATTATAATTCTGGTGTTACGTTAATTTTTCCAGAATATATATATATATATATATATATATATATATATATATATATATATATATATATACATAATTTCAGTTATTATTAGTTAATTTTAAGTTAAAAAAAATTATTTTAAAATATATGATATTTAATATTTAAGAACAATTTGATAAAATAAAAGAAAATAAAAAAATATTCTCATTTATTTAAGAGAAAAATAACATTAATTAATCATTTCTTATTATACGAGACATCTCTTCTTATTTATGTAGTCATTTTTGTAGAAGGACATGAGAAAAAAAAACTTATATAACTTATCTTGATTTTCTGAATATTTGTAAAATTAAGAACATCTTTGTATAATGTAATCCAATCTTTTAATATTTTTTGTTGGAAGTTCCATATCGTCTATCTCATGTTATTTTATATGGTTTAAATACATGTTAGACTATTTCATATATTATTAATTAATTTTATGTTGAAACCTTAACATGCTATTATAGCAAAAATTTAATATCTTTTTTATTATTGTACATGGGTAAAAAAATGTTGAAATCTTACCACTCTTGCCTACATATATTTACAGTGCAATGTGGTATGTTGCGAACGGTCATAATACATATATGTTAAATAATTTCCCGTCTTGTTTAATGATTTAAAATTGAGAATATGTATTTGTTGGAGAATTTAGATTGACTTTAAAAATTCAAGAATGAGGATGAAGGTGAAGGGGTAAGTGGTTGAAAAGAAAGTGAAGGTATTGCATGCATGTATGTGTTTTGATTGACAGTGGAGAAAATGTGTAATATATGAGGAGTTTAATTAAGAGTGAGAATGAAAAGTGAGTAAAGTAGATGGTTGTATGAGGAATAATTAGAAGTGTTGTTTGGCACAAAAGTGTGAAATAATTAAACTGGTCTGGTCCATATATGTATGTACAAATACCTTAGTACCTTCCTACCTACCTACCTGCAGAGAAGAATAAGGAGAGAGGGAGATGATTTTTAAAGATTGGATGAAACAATTATTATTGCAATGCTCATATTTCAAATATTCCAGCAAAGTAGTACAATGAAAGAGCATGCCCTAGCTAATTGATTGATGAGTAATTATATCCAAACATGGACCACATGGATCAGAGAGCAGGGGTCACTGTGATGTGTTGCAGTACCCAACAACTATGTTCAAGTTGGAAATTAACTGGGGGAGGGATGCCCAAAGGAATAATGTTAGGTTAATATATGGTAGGTGGTGGGAAATTGAAGGGAACTTGTGTTTCTTTTCCACCCATACTTGGATCAAACAAAAATAAATACACAAAAAAAATTAAAACAAATTTTTACATCAAACATCCATTCTTTATTATTATTTATATTAACTTTTATATATTTTCACTTATTGTTTTCTCTCTTGATTCTCTTGTAGGGTGAATGAAAAGTCATTTTTGTTTTCAACAAATCTTTGTTGTTTCTAATTTGTGTTTCTAGTAATTTATTATAACAGAGGATTTGTAGCGATATTTATTAGTTTGCTTTTACTTGTTTGAGTGGATTTTAGATAATAAGGAAATAAACTCAAACCTTCGAAAATATAATGTGAGATTCTGAGAAATGGGTAATTGAATAATAAATATTTGTATTGTCTTTATTAATTTTTTTTATTTGTATAAATATCTCATTCCACCTCATAAGAATAATTAATTCATTATAGTAAAAATATTATTATTCCATGATCATATGTTCAATATCATTTGTCATGAATTAATTTAAATCCTTTCAAATTTATTATTTTTCCCTCCATTCAAATAATCATACAAATTCACTCAAATTCACTACCTCGAAACTCCATTACAGTACAAACACAAAGCTTAGATAAACTTTTTTTTTTTTACTATAGTTGATAATAGGGATGTTTGTGGTGCTGGATAGATTCACTTTTATATTAAAACATTAAACAAATTAAATATAAAATTAAAAAAAAATTTAGTTTGACTTTTATTCTTTTTTAAATAAATTTAATTAATATTTTATAGTTTAGTTTAGACAACTTTTACAAACTTTTTATTAATTAAACATTTTATAATAAAATAGTTATTTAATAAAAATATTATACATAATTAATTAATTGTAATATTCGTAATTTCAATTATTTTTATATTTAATTTTAAAAAATTATTTTAAATTAAAAAAATTAATTTACTCATTTATATATTTTAATTTTAGTAACGTATATTATAATTTTGATTTAGGTTTTTTTTTATCAAATAAAAATTGAATTCACTAGATCGATTTTAAATTTTTTTAATAAAAAACTGATTTTAATCAAATTTTTATTTTTTAAAATTGATTTGATTTTGAATGCTATACAAGTATAAGTCTATTTAGATAAATATTTCGATACTATTCAAATTTTCATGTAAAAAATTGTCGAAAACTTATTTCTTACCATTATTACAAAAACTTTACAAAAATATTCCAGAGAATTTCTACTAGTTAAATACTATTCGAACAATAAGAAAAAAATTAAATATTTTTATAAAATTAAAATTAGATTATATGAATTAATTTGTTATTATATGTTATAAAAAAATAATCAATTTTATAAATTAAATTTTTTATTTATTTTTTAAATTTTCAATTTATATATGAATTATTTTTATGTTACCAAAAAACATTTAATTTTTCAATTAAAAATATTATAAAGAAGTTTGTTTAAAGGTAATGTATCTATTATTCATTCTAATTAATATAATATTAGTGAAGAGAAAAATGAGATAAATATGTATGTTTTAGTGTTTATTTTTTAAGAAATCTTTATATATATAATATATTTTGATATGGTGATGAATCTCGCTTATAAGTCAAATTCAAATATAATTTTTATATATATATTTTTATTTATAAAATATTTTTAAAAATAAAATTACGACAAAGAATTTTATAATGATTACGAAGTCAAAATACTCTTTAAACTCCTGAAATTTTGTATCTGAATTATATTTTATTATATAATTTTAAAATGTACAGTATTTTAAATATAATAATTAAAATTAGTAATATTATTATAATGATATTTACCAGAACATTTTTATTTTACACAAAATAAAATATAACCCAGAAAAAGAAAGTAGAACATAACTATAATTAAGAAAATCCATGTTACATATTCATGAAGTCTTGATGTTTATAAATGTCACCTAACATGAATACAGTGAGATTCGTCAAAAAAGTCATTAAAAATAATATTTACGAAAAACACAAAAAACAAAAACACAGAAATAGACATCTGAAAGTAAACAAAAAACATGAATGAATGGTGGGACTTGATTTTGACCTATAAGTTTTGTTCTTTGACCCAACGAAATCAACACTCTCACATTTTCTTTTGTTAAAGATAAACTTCAAGTCCTTTTCAATACTTTTTTTATGCCTGTCAAATCCAAAACATTTTTTTTCTAATTTTATTTTTTTTATTAAATTATTCTGTCATAGGAATCAAGGCAATTATGGTTTAAAAAATCCTCCACCACTTATATAACTTTCAGCATCTACCAATATATATCTTTTTCTCTTTTTTTTTTTAATTTCATCTTAACCCTATTAAAAAGTAAAAAATAAGTTTAATTTACATTTTTTTTA